GCCCCCAGGGCCATGGGGGGTTCAGATCCCCCCACCCCGATCCATGGGTAGGGGTCAGGGGGGAGTAAAACAGGGTGGGGGAGGGTCAAATCTCTATGTGAGGAGGGGTGCATCCCCCTGTCCCCATATAGGGCGAACATTTTGCAGAGGTTCCTGTGGTCCCTTTGGGGGTGCCAGGGCGGGAACGTGGTGCCATCGGGGGCTGTTCCCTCGCTCTGCCCAAAATCCAGCCCGTCCTGGTTGCCATGGCAATACGGTCCTGTTCCCCCCCTCCCATCTCTCAGTGTCACCCGCCAGCCACCGCGCATGTGTGTGTCCCCCCCCCACCAGGACTGGGGGGACATTGCTCTGGCTGGGGGGAAACTGAGGGGGAAAAGCAGGGGTTGGCACCCACCGTTGTCCCCTGTCCTGGGGGCCACATGGAGAGGGGACAGGGGGACAGGAATGCCAGGCCCTGGTGATCCCCCCTTTTCCTCCGGTGGTGAGAGGCTGTCCATGCCAGCACAGGACCCTCGGTGTACCAGGACATTGGTACATGGGGTGGTGGCAGGGGACAGCCAGGCCCTCCCCTCCTTCCCGGGGCACACATGTCCCCCACAGGACCCTTTCCATGGCAGGGCCAGGGTGCTGCTGCGCTCAGCTGTGTCCCCAGCCTGGTGTAGGGATCCCTCTGTGGGCCCAGATGCTGCGCTGAGCCCCCTGGGGGAGAGGACCCTGTCAGGCGGGGGACAGGCAGTGACATGGGAGGGGTAGAGGTGCTGTTGGCACTTGGAGGGGCTGTGGATGCTGCTGCCTGGCGTGGGCATGGCCACGCTGTCCCCCTTCCAGTCTGTGTCCCCATTCCCATCCCTGTCCCCGGGGTATCGGTGTCTGCCAGCTCCCCTTACCCATAGCTGGGTCCTGTGCCCAGTGCCACCACCACCACCATCACCATTGCCGCCACCACCACAGCCACTGCTGCCATCCGGGCCATCCACTGTCCCCATGGCAACGAGCTGCCAGTGCTGGATCCTTCCCGCGACCCCCTGCATGATGCCACCCCCCTGACCCTCACTGAGCCCCCTTCAGCCTCTCCTCCCCAGCCACTCCCAGCACTCCCTCAGCGCGCCCATGGCAGGGGCCCAGCGGTGTCAGGGCCCCCCCCGTGTCGGGGTTCACCCCCCAGGTGCTGAGTCATGTCAGGTGCAGCCCCTGGCCTCGGGTGCTGAGTCACGGGTGGGAGCCAACCCCTGCCCACCCCCCACGGTGCTTTGGGGGGCACTGAGCCTGTCCCTCCCCAGGGGGGCTTTTTCGGTGGTCCGGCGCTGCGTCAAGCTCTGCACCGGCCATGAGTACGCCGCCAAGATCATCAACACCAAAAAGCTCTCAGCCAGAGGTAGGTCCCCCAGAAACCCTGGGACACCCCAAGACCCTCCCAGCACCTGGGGGTGCCCCTGGGGCCACCCCAGCCCAGCCACATGCAATACCTATGGAGACACTCCTGGTACCCAAGATACCCTGATGCCCATGACACCTGTGACAGCCGTGACCCCTGTGGTGCTGGTGGCACCAGGTTCCAGTGAGGAGGGGGTGCTCCAGGGAGTGGGGTCTGATCCTGTCCTTCCCTATTATCCCCCTATGCCTCCCCTGGGGCCCCTCAGAGCCTGGGCTGTCCCTGAGGGGTATTCTGGGGGTATGCAGATGTGAGCAGACAGCGTGTGTGTGTGTGTACAGGTATGTGTGTACAGGTGTGTGTGTACGGGGGGAGATGTGCACAGGTGAGCTCTGTGTGTGTGCACAGGTGTGAACTCTGTGAGTGTGCAAAGGTGACCTCTGTGTGTGTGTGCACACAGGTGTGAACACTCTGTGTGTACACACAGGTGTAAACACTGTGTGTACACAGGTGTGAGCTGTGTGTGTATGTGCACAGGTGTGAACTCTGTGTGTGTGTGCACAGGTGTGAGCTCTATGTGTACACAGGTGTGAGCTCTGTGTGTGCACAGGTGCGAGCTCTTTGTGTACAGGTGTGAGCTCTGTGTGTGTGTGTGCGTGCACAGGTGTGAGTTGTGTGTGTGCAGAGGTGATCTCTGTGTGTGCACAGCTGTGAACTCTGTTTATGTGTGCACAGGTGTGAGCTCTGTGTGTGTGCATGCCCAGGTGCAATCTGTGTGTGCGCACAGGTGAGCTCTGTGTGCGTGCACAGATGTGAGCTGTGTGTGTACACAGGTGTGAGCTCTGTTTGTGTACAGGTGTGAGCTCTGTGTGTGTGTGCGTGTGCACAAGTGTGAGCTCTGTGTACAGGTGTGAGCTCTGTGTGTGTGTGTGCACAGATGTGATCCGTGTGTGTGCACAGGTGTGAGCTGTGTGTGTGTGCAGGTGTGAGCTGTGTGTGCATGCAGTGGTGTGAGCTCTGTGCACTAAGGTCTGAGCTCTGTGTGCACAGGTGTGAGCTCTGTGCACACAGGTGTGTGATGTGTATGTATGTGTGCACAGGTGTGTGTGTGATGGTGGGTCTGTGCACACGTGTGAGCAGTGGAGGGTATCTGAGTGTATGTGCACAGATCTGTGTTCACAGCGTGTGTCCATGTACAGATTTGTGTGTTCATGGAGTGTGTGTACACACGTGTGAGTGCACACCTGTGAGCAGGGGACCTACGTGTGTGTGTGCAGATGTGCGTGTCCTTGGTGTGCACCCAGGTGTGATCAGGTAGGGTGTGCATCAGTGTGTGTGTGTGTGTGTGTGTACGCACAGGGGTGGGCACTGCTGTGTGTTGTACACCTGTGAAGAGGGCAGGTGCCTGTTGGGTGTGATGGGGTGTGCACACAGCTCAGCAGGGGGTTGTGCAGATGTGGGATGTGTGACAGTGTGCAGGAGTGTAGGTGTTTGGGGGGGTGCACCTGGGTGAGAGGCAGTGTCCAGTGACACAGTGTGGGTGTGGGTGTGCTCTGTGTGTGTCTGTGGCCATGGCTGCGTGCACAGGCTGAGCAGTGAGTGCAGGGGGGTGCCCACAATGTGTGTGTATGAACTGTGTGTGAACTGTGTATGTTCACACACACATGCATGTGCAAGGGGGGATGTGAGCAGGTGCACACACCTGTCCACATATCTGTTCCCTCGTGTACAGACACACCCATGGGTGCAGCTGCACACACAGGTACAGGTGTGTGCTCCTACAGTGGGCAGTGCAGTCACACATGGGAACAGTCACACAGAGGCACAGCTGCATGGATGTACAGCTGCACACACAGGTACCTCCACAGCTGCACACCCCAGTACACACCCACAGACCAAGGTACAGAGATGCACATGGGTGCAGCCACACACACACACATGTACACCTGTGCACACAGGTACAACCACACAGCTGTACAACTGCACACACGGGTACAGACACACACAGGCACATCCGCACATGTGCACAACTGCAGGTGCTACCCCCACCTGGACACGGACACCCCCATACACATGCACACCCACACACCTGCACACCTGTCACACATATACAACCACACGCCTGCACACCCGCACACGTGTACAGCCACAGGTGCTTGCCCACATGTGCACTCCCATCCATAGGTGTGTACCTGCGTTCACACATACACACCCACACAGACGGGAACAGCTGCATAAACATACACACGTGCACACCTGTGCATGCCAGTGCACACCTGCACACATGTGTACACGCCCACATACACATGCACACACGTGCAAACCTGCACATACTTGCACACGTGCACACCCAGACACACATGCACACGCCCACAGGTGCACACACACCCCTGGCCCCTGTGCCCACCTGCACATGCGCGCAGAGCCACGCGCCCTCCCACGGGGACGCCTGTGGCTCCTCTCCCTGAGGCTGGGCCGGGGACAGATGCCTGGGGTGGGGCGTGTTGGGGGCAGGGCAGGTGCCCCCCTGACCCCTGCCCCCCCCAGACCACCAGAAGCTGGAGCGCGAGGCGCGCATCTGCCGGCTGCTCAAGCACTCCAACATCGGTGAGTGACCCGGGGACACCTGGGGACACCTGGGGGGTCTCACTGCTGGGGTCCTGCCGGGGGCCACCCAGGGACATGCTGGGTGCCACCACGGGGTTGTACCCACCCTGGGAACGTGTGGGTTGCCACCCAGGGACACCCTGGATGACACCCTGGGGACACACGCTGGGTGTCCCTCCGGGGTTGTGTGGGGTCTCACCCCTGAGGCCCTGCTGGGTGCCACAGTTGGAACACTCTGGGTGTGGGTGTGTGGGCTGCGTGTGACACAGACACGTGTGTGTGCCACTCGTAGCGTTTGGGGGGGGCTGGGGAGGGCTTTGGGAACTGAGACTGAGCCTGTCCCTGTCCCTGTCTGGTCCCCACAGTGCGGCTCCATGACAGTATCTCTGAGGAGGGTTTCCATTACCTCGTCTTTGACCTGTGAGTGTGGCTAGGGGGTCCCGGGAGTTCGGGGGGTGCTCAGGGAGTCTTGGGGGGGGTCCCTGGGGTCCTGGGGTGACACGGTGCCTGGCTGTGTTTCAGGGTGACAGGTGGTGAGCTCTTTGAGGACATTGTGGCGCGGGAGTACTACAGCGAGGCCGATGCCAGGTGAGCCCCTGTGCCCCTCCAAACCCCTGGACACCCCTACACCCCTCCAGTGCCCCCCACCCCGGGAGGCTGCAGGGATGGGGCAGCTCCAGCAAGGCAGGCAGGGGGCACCCAGTGGGTGGGGGCATGCCCCCCCCACCTTCCCATTATTGTAATCCCTCCACCAGCTCTGTCCTGCTGCTGGGTGGGGCTCCCCTATGTCCCACTCGCCACCCCATGCTCTCCCCTCTGCCTCTGAGGCCTGGCACTGTCATGACCTGTGCTGGGGGGGCTGGTGGCAGGTGGGGGGCCCCCAGGGCCCCCTGGTGCCGTCCCCAGCCCCCAGTGCCCTGTGTGCCGCCGTGTGCCTCTCCCCGTGGTCTCCGGGCTTTCACAACATTGTTTCTCCC